GGAGGGTAGCGGTGTTATACCCCTGCTATTACCTAGGCCGGAACGGACGGACCTACTACTATGCGGCCTTGGAAAAATAATAGATGGTGGGTTAGTTTTGGTCCGTGCCGCTGGTAAAGGACATATCTTTAATCGAGGAAGAACGCTTCAGGACGTATGCGGGTAAGTCGGTTGAGCCAAACGGCTCCCATTGCTCCACGTCRTGGGCTGGAAGGACGAAGGGTGGTCGTTGCTCCACGTCGTGGGTTGGTAGGACGAAAGGTGGTCGCTGCTCCACGTCCTAAGTCGGTTAGGCATGTGGGTGGTAATGCACCACGTCGTTAGGAATAATGGTGCGTTTCTGGTGGTGCAACGTGGGCTTCTGTGAACCACACCTTACCCATGACTACCCTTATAAATAGGACCCGTACCCTTAGCCTTAAGCATTCAACAATTACTTCCCTTAGCACGTATACTTGTCTAAAAACAGTYCTAGTTCCCTTCGAGCATARGCARATCAGTCCGAGCAATCCTGAGTCTTAGGCTCGATCAAGTCCAGGMGGCAGGGCCAGWTTTCCTAAGRGAAACCTCTATTAAAACAGTGAGTCTCGGTACAATGCGTTATGTTTATTCTAGAATAGTCTAAAATATCATTCTATAGTATAGTCATGAGGTTCTCATCATCATTCTTCAGATATGATTATACTTGGTTATTGAATGTTGAAACTATACTTATGATGGTAACTGCCTATGTGAATGGTAGATACTTGAGTGGTAAGTATTGTGTGACTGGTTGTTAGCATGTCTCTGGTTAGATTCATGCATGGTAAAAACTTGTTGAACGCGGTCCTAAGTTTTCCAAAGAAGTCGTGCATAGGTCACGCCATGGAGTTGTGTGGGTCGCACCCATAGGCCATGATACACGACGGTGTATTGAGTTCAGGTGGYTGTTCCATAGAACTCGGGATGTTGGAAGACTATGTGTCTTACACCCCACTAATGCCGGAACATGGATTCGCAAGGCCTTAAATGAAGAGAATTCATGCATGCATATTGTTGATTGATGAATG